ATCATCATCATCATCATCATCATCATCATTATCATTATTATTGTTGTTGTTGTTGTTGTTGTTGTTGTTGTTATGCTGATCCTTCTGTCCTCTTGTGAACAGGGTCATGCAGGACCTCTTGGCCAAAAAGGTGAAATCGGAGCCGTTGGCTCGAAGGTATAAATAAAAAAATCCCCTTTTTATTTGTAAAATAATTGTTTCAGCCTGCCTCAGGATTTATCTGGTTCGAGTGTTTTTTAATGTAAATAAACAAATTTGTGATTTATTTTTTAAGGGATCTAATGGACCTCCTGGTCCAATGGGAGGACCTGGTCCCATGGTGAGTCCAGTTGTTCACATTAATAGGAAGTGAATGCTCATTAATCACCTGTAACAGGTGATTAATAATTAATCCCTGTTTTTTCCTAACAGGGTCCATCAGGGATGCCAGGAGAGCGAGGACGTCCTGGACCTGGTGGTGTAGCTGTGAGTAAAACATGTTTCAGTTTTCTTCACCTGATGACAGAACTGAGTTTATTTTCATTCTCATATATCTTGTATAAGTACACAGATATAAAGTACACAGATATGACCCTTTCTGCTCGTTAGTAACCAGTTTCTGCTCGTTAGGGTAAACGAGGTCTGCCTGGAAACATTGGAAAACCTGGTCCGTTGGTGAGTCGACTTTCTTTGTGTTTTATTTGGACACTTGTAATAAAATGAATGTTTTTAGCTTTTTGAACTTCAGCGTGGCATAATGAAATATTTCTATATATTCTATACATCTTACAAAAAACTGTTTTTCCATTTCCCTAATTATTAACTGTCACCTTTAATAATTAAGTATCATAAAACGATCGTGTTTTTTGGAACTTTTTTTTGTATTTCACTCAAGAATATCCAACTTTAAACCATTTTGCATAAATGTGTAAATGTGTAAACCTAACCATGTTTTATTCCCTAAACCTGACTCAAACTGTTAATTAGTGAGCGCAGGTTGGATAATAGTCATAAATGAGTCAAATGTAGTAAAATAAGGGCAGTTACACCCTTACTGACCATGTCAGGGTGGATTTGAACAGGAGTTGTTGGAGCATGGTTTCTGTGCTGGTTGTTTGTTTAGACTTTGCTGATAACAGGAGATGGATCGAATGCTCCGGTCCTTTGTGGTGACGAAGGAGCTGATTTCAGATATGACCATAAAAACCTAAAGAACCAGAACACCTGCAGGAGAAATAATAAATCCTTCCTGGTCTGGAGATGCTTTAGGATCCTCCAGGAAGAACTGGAGAGATGTTCACCCTSCAGTCCACTAGGGGGCGATAATCTGCTGTTGTTTCGAAAGAGAAGAAGTTTGAGCGGATTTTTTTCTACCAAAAATATGATGCAGTTTGTGGATAAAAAAATTTATTTATTTAATTATTTA